GAGCGGTTCCTGAAAGTCACCCTCCACCTTATCCCAATCCTGAGCTCCACCATAATCTCCAGCAGCCAAGTCCCCAGGGTGCCACGTGGGCGTTCCATTCTCGTAGGCGTTACACGTCAGCCTCCTCAACCCACTCCCATCCACCCTCACCACATACAAGTCCCCATACGGTTGAAACTGGTTGGGCAACCCCACCGGTTCACCACACAAGCCACCCAAGTTGGCCGTGAACAGCAACCACTCTCCGTCGCGGCTGAAACACACGTGGTTCAGCCTCTCCTTCGCACCTTCCTCTCCCTTCGCCACCTCAACCCTCCTCAACCCACTCCCATCAGGCCTCACCAAATAAATCCCAAACACCTCGCTATTCTTCGCCTCATGCCTGTTCGACGAAAACGCTATCAAATCCCCTTTCGGTGACCAACACGGCATCGTATCGATCCACGCTCCCTCCGTCAACCTCCGTATCTCGCCCTCACACTCCCCCTTAACGGCGTCAACTACGTACAAATTCTTCTGCCCCGACCTCCCTGACCGAAACACAATACTCTTCCCATCCGGGGAGCATGACGGAAACGCGTTATTCCCCGTCTCTTCTTTCGTCAGAATCGTTAACTTAAACGGAACCTCTTCACGGTCGTTAGTTAAATGAGCGGGGTCGAACTCAATACGAGCGATTTGAACCGTTTTATAAACCGACTCGAAGATTGGACCAACGGAGGTGAATATCACGTTCTTCTCCGTCGGGCTCCACGCATTATGGAAGCACGTGCGTCCTTTAAGTAACGTCCACCGTTTAGAACCGTTTGAGCTAATGATCTTAACCCCGCCGTTTCTGTTACCGTCGAGGTCGTGGTTAAAAGCGATGAAATCTCCGTCAGGGGAAAAGCTCGGAAAGGAACCGTTGAGTCTGAGTAATTGTAAATCGTGAACCGGAGAGACAATTTTATCGAGATGCGGGTACGTCGACTCGCCCTGAGTTGACTCGCCTCGGAATCGGTGGTACCCGAGGTGGCGAGAGTCCAACGAGACAAAGGGGTTATAGTGGTGGAAGTTAGGGTTTATAGTTTCGGTGACTCGTTGGAACGTTTCGGATTCGAGATCGAAGATCTCGACGTGCCGGAAACTGCTCTCCTTTCTGCGAGTTGCGACGGCGATGCGCTTCCCGTCGTGGAAAGCTGACGGAGTGAAACAATGCAGTCCAGGCGGTGTGACGCGGACCGGCGAGTTTCGTGACTCGGATAGATCGAAATCGGTAAAATCAACGCGAAAAATGCTCCACCATCCATCTTCGGCGATTCTGTGGAAGAAAATCGTCGAGTCTCGCGACCACGTTGGCCATCCACCGCGTTCGCTCACGGTGACTCGGTTTCCAGGATCGGACTCGGGGAAAACGACGATCTCCGTTTGGAGTTCGCGGAAATCGTCGGTTTGCCAGGGGCGGGAGCGGTAAGACGCGACAGCGAGGAATTTTCCGGTGAGGGAGACGGCGGGGCTGTAGTCGACCTCGCCGCGCGGGGTGAGTCTGGTGACGGAGGCGGCGTCATTGACGGCGGAGGAATAGACCGCGCTGAAGTTGGTGAAAACGGCGTCGTGTTGGTGGAGCGTGGAAACGAAGTAGAGGTTGTCGTTTTTAATGATTGGGCGATCGTGGAAGAGAGCCTTGGGGAGAAAAGGCAAAGGTTGGGGCTTTTTATTGTCGGGTCGGGTAATGTAGAAGCGGGGCGACCCGGTTCTTTCGGATACGAAGACGACGTCGTTTTGGTTGTTGATGAATTGGGCGTTGAAGTTTACTGAAATGGCATCAGTGAGGCGGTGGTCTGTGGCAGCGTGAGGCGGAGGGTGGTGGTGGTGGAGGTCGACGGAGAAAACGTCGAAGCCGTATTGGGGTCTTCCGACGGTGTTGAATACGATGGTTCCCGGTGGTGGCGACATTGGGATTGAGTGAGAGTGAGAGTGAGAGCGAGTGGGTTTAGGTGTGAAACGATTGAGGATTTGGTGGCGTGGGATTTGTGTGGGTTGGGGTGGGGGTTTAAATAGGTTCAGTCTTGCTCTTTTGGGTGTTGCGTGACGTAGTATTGTCAAAATTTTGTGTCGTTTCGATCTGCTTGCGGCACACGAGTCAACATTTACGAATCTCTACAGAAGCCGTCTTTGATTTGAACTTTGAGGACGCTATGCTATTCGGATAAAGGTGGTTTATTTTATTTGCCAAGACACGGGAATTTTGGAATGTACGAGAGCAACGTGGAGAGGTAAGTAAAGAAAGTAGAAAAGATGGATAATAAGTAATAATATAAAAAAAAAAAATGAAGATAATTATGGGAACAAAAACGAGATACAAGTTAGATGAAAGATAAGTTGAATGTATCATCGTAATAATTTATGTTTGTCTAATAATTGCTTATAAAATATATGATTCTTTATTAATAATTGCTTATAAAATATATGATTCTTTATTTTTTTTAAAGAAAAACTTCGGTGAATGAAATCCTAATAATAAAAATTGTTGAAATATATATATAACAATTATTTATCCTAAGAATAAAATTCATTTATTGTGTATTTTGTAACATTGTGACAATTGATTACACTTATAATGCCACACTTATTACACGGAAGAAAATATAGATGATTTAATTACACTAAAATTTATTATATACTAGATATATGTATAGGGATATGAAAAATATTAAATAATCTTTGTCAGTTTTAATTTGAAAATATAAATTTAATATCATTTTCTAATGAGGTTATAATAAAACTTCTTACATATATATAAATACACGTCTTGTAAAGTGTATTGATAAATCATTTTTATAATATAATTATTGTATCATAATAACTGTAAAACCCTTTTCCCTCTTTTTTTCCTTCACTTACTCTAACTCTCTTTTACTCTAAAATCACTCACTTCTCTTTTCCCCTCCTTTTTGTGTGGTGATTCGTGGCAATTGAAGGTGTAAGTGGAGTGTAGACTGAATCCTCGAGCTGGTTCTTCTCCTTTCCGCTCCGAGGCTTTTCTTCTTCTTCTTCTTCATCACTCTCTTCTCCCCGAAACTTGGAACCGTTGAACCAAGGTAAGGGAAGCTAGTTACTTTGCTGTTTTGGTTGGGAATGAGTCTTAGATACTCATTTTCTAATTGATGATGGATGATTCTTTGGTTGAGACTGCGGAAAAATGAACTTTTGAGGGTTTTGGGTTTCTTGAGAAATTTGGGTTTTTCTTGATTGTTGCATGCATGGATGAAAAGATAGTATTTTTGAACTCTATGCTGAAAATGTACTACTTTGGGCCGATTGCATGTGGGTTTTCCTGGTTATTTTGTAGGTTTTTATGAGATTTTCGAAAGTTTGAAGGTTACGGTTGGGTATCACGCCGGCGTAGTTCTTCGCGCCGGGCGCGTGACCATCAGAGACTCCATTTAGGCAAGCACGCCGGGCGTTATGGTGAATGCGCCGGGCGAGATTGAGGATGTGAGTCTTTAGATGGCCCACGCCGGGCGTGGTGGAACAGCGCTGGGCGCGATATTAGTGGATAACTCAAGTTTTGAGGTTCTGGTGTGGCACCGGGCTTGGCTTTTCTCGCCGGCCGTAGAGGCTCCATGGGAGTCTCTGCCAGAGGTGGCGTCGGGCGCAATGTATATTGCGCCGGGCGTGAGACTTGGGGAAAGTCTCTGCTTGCCCTGGGCCAAGCGCGGGTTCGTACGCCAAGCGTGTGAGACCTTGTGAGGTCTCTGCCTTCCCTCACGCCGGGCGTAATAGGTATTGCGTCGGGCGTGCTGGTCCTTGGTACCCTCTGGATGTGCCACGCCGGGCGCAGACATGGGTGCGCCGGGCGTGTATGAGAATGTTATTTTGATGTTATATTAGTTGTATAACTTTGCTGAATTTGCTGAGAGAGGTTGTTTTATGCTGATTATGATGTTAAGTTGTGATAGATATATAATGCTATGCTGAGCTGGCTGTTATTGATAAGTTTAAATGTTGTAATATGATATTGCTGTGCTCTAGAATGATGAGTTGGGATGTGAGTAGTAAGCTGTGTTGAATACTACTTAGCTGTGTTGTATGCTGATATGTTGTGCTGTGCTGTATGCTGTTATAGCCGCTATGTCGGTGCTGTTAGCCACTATTGTGGTGTTGTTATAGCCGCTATGTCAATGTTGTTAGCCACTATTGTGGTGCTGTTATAGCCGCTATGTCGGTGCTGTTAGCCACTATTGTGGTGCTGTTATAGCTGCTGAGCGGTGCTGATATTGCTGATATTGCTGTGGTGTAGTATAAGCTGTGCGGGTGTGCTGATAGCAGTAGTTGTTTATTGTTCATATATTATATATGTATGTTGATTTCCTTACACTAGCTTACCCTTTGTTGTCTCCATGATGTTTGGACTGCAATATCATACTATGTATGGGAGCAGAGCAGGGATAAGTTGGTGGCTGGCAGTAGGTCTGTAGCTGGTAGACGGAGCTGATCTATTTAGATGTTTTGTTGTTTAGCTACAGGGGGTAGTAGCTTTGATGTATTTTGTTTTATATTCTAACTCTAGTCAGATTAGGACCTTGTATATACATATATTCTAGATCCTATATTATATACTTGTTCTATCTGCCTGGTGTTTCCAGTGTGCTGTGCCGTGTGTAGTGACCTGCTGGGTCGTTATAATAACTCAATAAAATAAGATCAATTTTAATATGGTCAACCTTTAAGTATGTCTTTTATCTAATCCTATCCTATTTTCATAATAAGTATAATTATTGAAGTCGAATAATATAAAAAAAATAATGCTAAATATGTGAAAGAAAATAACATAATATCATATAAGAAACTAACAACTTCAACAACAAATATTAAAACATCACATAGTATATATCCAAATAATGAAGTAATAAAGCAAGTAGTGTTAAATATATTGTTTAAAATTAAAAAATGATAAAATGTAATTGAATTTAAAAATATGATAGAAAGATTAACGATGTGCAACCGATCATTTTAGATAGTTATAATAAAAATTAAATAAAAAATCATTTTGCAAGCTATAAATGTAAAGCAATAGAAAAATGTACATAAAAATAATATGTCTTTATTAATAATTAGTGTAAAAGAGGTGTTTTATGTCTCTATATATTTAAAAATATTATAAAGAAAATAGAAATAATTGAGAAAAGGAGAAGGTTTGGAGTGGGTTAAAGGTGGGTATAACTTATAAGGGTAAAATAATCTAAAAATTGTGTATACAAAAATAAGAAATCACACACACACACATACACACACACACACACACACATATATATATATATATATATATATATATATATAAAAGGAAGGATTAATTTACTCTAAGAGTAAATCTAGTTAGACTTACTTCACTCAATAACTTATATTCTACATCAAATTTCAACAATCTAATCGTTTAATTACAAATTCTTAATGAATAGATCAAGTTTATAAATTTTTAAAATTTTGAAAATCATATTATACTTTTTTATATAGATTCAAATCAACATATAAAATATTTTTATATTTATCCATCAATTTGAATTTATAAAATGGAATATCATATGATTTCTAAATTTTTTTAAAAATTGCAAACTTGATCTATTAATTAAGAACTTATAATTAGGCAATTAGATTGTTAAAATTTGATATAAAACATAAATTATTAAGCGAAATAAATCTAACTACATTTTTGAATTACAATAGCTACCTCTCTCTCTAGAGAGAGAGAGTGAGTGGTTTATAAAATAAAATATATAAGTAATATTTTAGTTGAGGTATTTTTATTTTTTTTTAATAACTTTAATTTGTTAACAAAACGATAATGTCTTTTTCTATTTTATTTTTTAAAGAGTAACGATATTTCAATGCTCTATCATTTTATACGATATTCATTATTTTTATTCTTTATTCTATATATATATATATATTTCTCTCATAGGTGTTTTAATATAGGTTGTTGGTGTTCGTCAATCATTTTTGTTTTTAAAAATTTTAGTTTTCTTTTCAACATTCCTAAAAATTATTGTGGATTAATAAGAATAAGCAATGAGAAAAAAGGAAAAAGCATCTTTGAACCATCTCAGCATTCCCACGTGATAAATATGAATGGGTAGAGATCAATATCAAATTATTTATGAAAAGAATAAAACAAGAGAAAAGAGCACAGTGGCGCGATGGGAGTAAGTAGGCTTTTTTTTTTTCGTAATGAGTATGGTTTTTTTTTATTAATCGTGAATTATTAGATAAATAAACGAAAACTGAAAATATTATTTAATTGAAAAGTATATTATTTGTTAGTAAAAGTATTATTTATTCATATTTTTTAAAGAGTTAATCATCTATACACTATCAGTATAAAGTTATAATTATTATTATTATTATTTTATTTTATTATTATTTCATTAAATAAGTAATTGATCTTATTAAAAAATATAATTAGTTATTAATATAAAAATTTTTTACACTGGTCGTGTATAAGTGATTAACTCTTTTTTAAAATAAAAAATAAAAAAAAAGGAATCTTAAAAAGAAGATGAAAACGAGTTTTTTTTTTTTGTTTTCTCTTCTAGAAATCAAATAATGTATCAATCAACTTGAACCAAACTCTTTGGTATGAAAAAAGGTATTAATTTTTTAAAAAGTTACTCATTTTAAAATTAGACAATCTAAAGAATTCTTTTTTAATTAATTCTAAAATCTATCTCATTTGAAATCGGACATAATGAAATTTGATAAATTATTATGTCGGCCTGGTGTGATAGTTGGGATAAATGAAGAGAACTCATTTGTTTTATGTTGTTGTTATTATAATTTTTTACTAAAAAAATTACTGAACTTTAATCTTATTTCATTTGATTATTAAATTGTACTTTTTTTTTTGTAAATCGCTATTTTGAACTTTAATTCATTTAATTTTATCTTTAAAATATGTCCTTTTTATAAATAGTTTTTTTTACACCACCTTTTTATAAATAGTTCTGAACTTTACTATTTCTAATCAAGTTAGATTTAAATATATATCTTAAATTTTATTCATTTATTATTTTTTTCTTTTTGTTATTATAATTCATTTTTCATTTATTAAAATATAATAAA